TTGCTCGAGCTTGTTACGAGCCTATTCCACCGTATAGGGGCGTGATTATTTAAGAAACAGCGTTATGTTCTCGCTTTTAGGGAAGTCTTTATGTTGAGGCTGTCCTTGACATACAGTCCGTCGGGAAATGTACTCGCGTGCTGCATTGTTCATGGCAAACTTGCGAGTTGTGACAACTCGGTTGTCCATTCTCGGTCAAACTCTTTGATCCAACGCTGTTATCATCTTCATTCTCACTCAGTAACTTCGAGTCTTGTATTGAACCTGAGTTGCTACTGTCAGTGATTAACTGGGAAGGATTGTGCTCGAGCCCCACGCTACTACAAAGACGTTTACCTCTTTGATGCTGATCAGCCACCGCATGAGCAATCGGCCAGTCAATGTGAATCAGTCAAGATTCTTGACTCATCGGCGTAAGCTTTTTAATTTCTTTGTCAGTATTCGGCTAAAGATACGGTCGTAAATTAGCAGATGCAAACGCCGCGACAGATTCAATCTCTACTTTTCATTCGAACTTTCAGGAGCTACAGGCTGTTGCCCCTCACTGCGTCCTACAGCGAGCCGCAAACGTATTGCTCCTAAGCAACACGACCAAGTCCATCCTCACGAGGCATGAGGATGGACTCGGTCATGAGTCATGGAGGATAGGTGCTCTCGATGAAGAACTGGTAGTGAGCTCGTGTCAATACAAGGATCAACGCTCCATCGGCAGGAACTCTAGTAGATTAAACATTCAATGTTTCTTGGAGTGCAACAACAGTGGGACTTCGATGTAGCTAGTCTTCAGGGGGGAGGGGTGCTCTTCAAGGGATATTTGCATGCGCGTGATAAATAAACCGCCCCTTCCCAGCAGTGTGTAACCTAAATTGTAACCAGAACCCAAATTGGCGAGGCTCAAGTTAGCCGAGTGCGCCTGGTGAGGCACGAAAAGGCCAACAGACGCCAGTCGGAGGAGAAGTTCAGAAGATGGATCCAGGCGGTGCTATTTTCAAACAACTAGTCCTTATCATAGTTTTACATACTAGTTTCCCAGTTTCTGTTGTGGTTGCGTTCGTCACAAATTATAAATTTAGTACAGGGCGTGTCAAGCGCGTTTCTGCATACGTATAAGTACGTGCCGAACATGAATTAAGTATTCCAAGTACCCGAGTCTAGTGTCAATCACTGAAACAAGTTGAAATTCAGAAAACTAAGATCGCGGACTTCACCTGTTGATGTGTGCAAAATACTCCTGTTGAATCACTCCCACCGATCGTCTCGACAATATCATGAGGCTCTCCGTCACGGAGATGATGCTGCGTGTAGAGGGGTAGTGATGGATTGATGAGAAGTGGGGAGGCAATCTGTAAATACAAATGGTCCAGAACTGAGTAACTCATCAAGAGTTCTGCGCGGCCAGGCGTGTGTGTGTGAGTGGTGATATTGCAGGAAGAGCGCAATATTGCCGTACTGGCTGTGGCTGGAAACGCCTGAATCCTTACTCAGGGAAAGAGAGAGAGTTCACGTCCGTATATGAACCCAACATCATAGTCATCTATCTGAATACTTCTAGTAATTATTTGATTTATTTATGTGTACTAGTCATAGCAGATACTCAGTATACCAGAGTACTAGCACAATACGTATCAAGCCAGGGATCGTTACCAATCGAAAGATCAATCAATCGTTAACGATATAACGACCCTACGATCATTCTCGACCACGACCTCGATGCTTAGAGCAATCCACGTGCCCGGTGCGGAGGATTCCGCAGTGCGGAATCTGAAACCATCGGATACGTCGGCGCCGATACTCATCTTGCGCACTCATCGTTCGTAGGCTCATGTTAACCGCGGTGACCGCTGTGCACAACGGCGGTGATCACTGATCAGGTAGGTTCCCAGGTAACAGCACACATACACAAACACGTGGCGCGAATCATCGAGGCTAGCACAATAGACAGCAAACAGCCAATACCATAACAAAAGTACAGTAAATACAAAAGTAAGTAGGGGACAAATCAACCATAGCGGCCAACAGGTCTCCGTGCAACGCGCCGAAGCGCACACCGCGGAGTTCGTTGAGTTGATAGCGCTCAAAAAATGGAGGACCCGGGGATTGAACCTTGGACGACTGGACCCCGCGTCCCGTCTGTATATGTGAGGTTATCATTAGGTTCGTTAGCCCTTTTGGTTAGACGTGAATGACCACCTCCGAAATATTATGATGAAATTGTTTCACCTAGGACGGCGATGTTTTCACTTGAACTCCCCGACATGCGCATTGTCGTATGCGTGTACAACTCACCACTGATTTGCTCGTATCTTGACGAGCTTTGGTCAAGTGGTTGGAACTGTTGATGAACGTTTGAAGCGCGGTTTGTATAGTAGCTCATGTCAGACGTGTATAATGCAGAAGGAAAGAATGACAAGCACTCTCCACCATTCGACATCCATACGGCCACAACCCCATCGAGGGGATGTAGATCCTCTCCCTGAAGAGGCTCCTTCCCCTCCCTCTTGTCCATCTGGGCTAGAGTCTTTCAAGAGCTGCCAAACAGTAGAAGCTCATCATGCCGAGATGCTACATAAATGGGCTGATGCCACCGATTGGGGACTCTCAATGACTGAGAAGGTAACTCAATCTTTATTATTCAGCTGCCAGCTATACTACAGCTTTGGGGGTTGATACTGATAACAAAACTATACAGTTCTACATATTCTTAGTCGAGTCTAGTTCGAGTTGGACCAGCACTCGACGATTCAGCTTTAGTATTGTCGATCGCTGACAGAAGATACTCCGGCGTGTATGAAAAACATCAGCCTTTGGCATGGCTGCCCCACAGGCAGGAGTGGACCTATTCACAGAGGCATTCCATACTATATTTTCTTGAAATTGGTGTTGCTTCGATCGTCTCGGCGGAATTGATACACATGGGATGTGACATATCTTGTGCGAGTGGCATAGCTGCCCCTCGGGGCGGATCGCCTACTTCATGCTTCTGTGAGCTTGATTGTTTTTGAGGGTATCTTCAAGTGGCATAGCTGCCCCCCTCTGTAGTTTGAAACGACTTTTCAGTTCACACGTCACTCTCTTTCTATTGTATTCCTTGTATTCTATTCTATTTCTTTGTATTCTTTTGCAGTATCCTCGAATTTCTCTGGGGCCGATATGCCTTAGGTTCTCTGAAATATCCAGATTTGTATGTGCTCATGGTCTTTTTCAGGCAGTAGCTCGACATGATGCACCGCCACAGCTCACCAAGAAGATGTCTCGCGGCAGCTCATGGATACCTCATAGGCATCATCATAAGGATGATGTACATGTGAATGAGACCAAGAACGCTGTTGCCATGCAAGTTGACAATGATGATCCCGACTGCAGTATGAGCGTCGACTGTGAATTTAATAAGGGTCAGACTGACCTCATTCAGAATACTCTTTGATCGGGTCGGTTCAGGTCTGCTGAAGGGCCAAATAATGATTGAGGGTATGAACGTACCGTATTTATTCCAAGTAGCAGCTAGCTGGGAGATGGACTTGGCGCCTTGTAGGAACCGTCGTGGGTCATCTCTCCCTCGACTTTGCCAACTCAGTATGGTTCCCAATGCTCGAAACTGTCGACAAAGTAGCCGCGTTTCCTCCCAATGGTGACAACTCTACACAGCGGAGTCGAGATAAAGAACAGGAGTGGATGTCCGATGTAATATTATTGACGATGCTCTCCTTCCCTGAGTACCCGCTTGATTCCAGACACCAACTAGCAGCACTCGAGGAAGCTCCAGTGAAGTTGACTCGTCGATCTTCACTCATCCAGCGCCTAATCGTCCTGTCATATTAGATGAGATGATGACCCATCTGTTTGCGGTGCCACCAGTTCCAGCCATCAAGGGAGTCGACTCGTATTCCCATCGGTATTACCTTTGTCACGGAATGGTCGATTTGATATTATCTCTCTGCCTCAGAACTCTTTATTCGTGGTCTCCCAAGTGCACACCAACTCCAGGGTCGTTAATGATTGATTACTCCCCACCATTGGATGCTAAGTCATGGAAAGGAGTTCAATTGGATGACCCTGCTCGTCGGGTACTATACCTGGGAGGGGCTCTCATTAGTACACTGCATTTAATCCGAAAAATTGGAAATTCCATGGACTTGATCTAACGTTGGACTTTCTCATGTACTCGTTTGAAGGTCTTCCATGCAGAAGATTGGATGGTACCATAACTTACACTCTTTGTAGGTATTTCGGACTGAACAAAAAGCCACGGCGGTTTACGTTAGGCCGTCGTTGAAGGATCCTGAGCGTCGTAGTGATGTGTAAGTTTATCATTCACTGTATTTCTGATGCAATTGATGATTATAACTGGTCCGATTAGCACACCTCGAAATCGTATAAATAATGATAGTTCCCGCTCACACGTCATGAGTACTCGATGCGCTTACTGGTTGAAGAAGCTTCTTTTCAGGTTTGTCAGCGTCTTAGCAGATCCTGGGGTCCCTACCTGGTTGGTACCCAATTCTCTGGTAAAGTGGATACTACGTCTCGGCGCACGAGGTTTTGTCGATAAGGTTATGTCAGTAATGACCGGCTGCACTGATGATCCAACGTGAGTGATCAAGGGTCAGGGTTTCCTCTCGTGAGCATAGAGAAGTTTCGTTCTTATTAAGTTGTTATCGATTGGCTGCTACTTTGTTGGTGTCAGGCATCGTTACGCTGTACGAGTAGCTGAGAGATATGAGGAACTGTACTGGAAGTATGCCTATTACGGTTTCTATCCACCAGAGGCTGTAGTGTCCAGGAAGGCTCGAGAGCATCTGTTCATGAAAAGGCATATTAAAAGCATATGTGAGTATAGGCACCCAATACTACATAGAATTGTCTCATGTCAGGCGGGCAACGTGGCGACGGGCCGCGTAAGTCTGCTTGCGTCGATGAGAAAACCCCAGCGGCTATGAGTGAGGTATCTCGTGGTCGACCACCTTTGGATCCTACAATTAAGAAGCGACGAGAAGGCTCGACTGCAGTTGGTCTGAGGCCTCGAAAAGACATGGGACATCGTTCGTCTACTAGTACTGATACAATGCTAGTACAGAGTAAAATGTTCTCGTTGTTGAAAGCATTATTCATCATTATAGCTGTGTTTTGGGCAAGACCTTTGTTAAAGTCGATGACCCTCTTGTTCGACAAGCATTAATATTAGTACTCCGATTCAGCTGTCGAACTTCATGTCACACATTTGTCGTCACGTTAGGAAGCACTTCAGAACACAATCATTATCTTTGTCATTTTCTGCTCACTCTTCTCACATCTCATCAACACTACCAAGTCACTCTGGAATCGATCGTCACTATCGATATTCCTCTGGACTGCAGTCTGGTATTTCGCAGAACTAGAGCGAGCTATGTCTCGTGCTCTTATCATTCTTGCTGGCGTCCGCGGCCTATGCACTATCATATTCTATGTGCTTATTCGCCACAATGAGGCGATCTATTCTCTCCCGTCTGAGTCATCGTCTGTTATCGGTAGTATAGGTAGCCATCCTCAAGCACTGTAAATCATTGACTGCTATATGCTGGGGAAGCTAGTCCGGTTAGATTGCTATTATGTTCTCCATAGTTTGATTGTTTCCATCCGTTAATTGAATATGAGTTAGTCTCAGTAGTACATCAATGACCATCGAGAACGCTCATGTAACCATAGTGTCGATGTCGTACTACGACTGCATACGGTTAGTTTAACCGTGATTGACCACGTTACTACCACTACGACTGATAAGTACGTCCATCAGCCTATCAGCGGTTGAGCGTGTTCGGATCATTTTGGACCATCTATTCTCACCCTGTCGTGCAGTAAAACCATCAAACTTACGTTTATCCAATTCGTACTGTCAATTGCGTAGTAACCGACCACAACACTACTCCTCCTGTTGACGGAGGCAGTACTGGCTGCTTGTTCTCGGTTCCTTATTCGATGTCTACATACTAGCGAAAAAGTGAGATAACCAGATTGTGTTGCACAGTGCGCGGTTCTCGAGGGTCGAGGAGCTGTTGCGATCAGTCCTCTCTGAGTCTGCTGACATATCACTACTAGACTCAACACTAGTCATCAGAGAAAGTAGCATTTCGTTAATGGAAAAGCTAGAGAACCAAGGTCATCAGAAGTGTGTTATCTAGGACAACACAATTGGAGACACAGTTG